TGTGGAGAAAAAAGCCACGTGGCCTGAGAGAAAGGACTCCGATAATGGAGTGGAAGGGTCCAGATGAAAAATAAAAGCAAGTACTGAAAGAATCAGACTAGCCTGATAACTTGTATTTTTGAATTCTCTCAGTACTCTTCCAGATAACAGGAGAATGTAATAGCCCCTCCTGACCCTAGCCATCTGCATGGATGGAGATAAGGAGAAGACCTCCACCTGGTTGCAGAAGGAAATAGCAATGGATCCAGATGATCCTAATTCCCCTCCCAAATAGCTCCTTACCTTTTGACTAAAGGCATGCAGCCCCGTTTCTCAAAGACCACAGGATGAGCAGATTGCTTTTCCCACCTTTAACAATGGCCTAGTCTGACCACAGAATGTACGGATCCTTTTCCCACCTTTAACAATAGCTGAATCTGCACATATCAGAAACCCGAGATGTCTAGCTGACCGGACCTGGTGCCCACAATAGACCCTATGTCCGCTCCCATGATGTCAAACCTGTAACCCCTTCGTCTACCCCTTTAAAAACTAGAGGCTACTGAGAGTCGGGGCTGACTCCAGCCTAAATGTAGAGTTAGCCCCAGCGTGCTGGTGTAAGTAAGAACCTCTTGCTAATTGCATCAATTGCGGCCTCCTCTGAGTTTCCTTCACAGCAAGCCTCTTTGGTAGTTAGGCTCCCTGCTGAACCTAACAGTACCATGGGATTATGTATGGAAGGTACACCAGATGAGTAGCATTAAGGCCGATGACACTGGATGAGGGTTGGGAGATGGATAATAAGGGTATTAAGACAGTGTAAGATAAATATCTGTCCGGCCCATGATAAATGAGACAATTATAAAATCTAACAGGTGTCTGTGTCTTATCATTTGTGATAGCAGGTTATGGCTGTGATAATTTAAGGCTAACCATAAACATTATATAGATCAACAGCTTTTAAAAAAATTATTACAATGTCCTTATCCTTACCTACAGAGCATAATAATGTCTTTCCTATGAGGACAAGATTTTGAACATGGTTCCAGAATTGATCAATTGTGCTAGGTACTTTATTATTTCTCTCTCTCTCTCTCCTCTCTCCCTCTCTCCTCTCTCACTTTCTCTTCTCTCTGTCTTTCTCTTTCTTCTTGACTACAGAAAATAGGCAGGACCTGGCACGACCTTCCTAAAGAACCATTTGAAGGAAGGTCAGCATGATGGTCATTCAATCCAACAGCTGATCCTTGTCCTTTGGAATTTCCAAAGGAAAAAAAAATAGAAAAAAAATCCTTTAATGTTGCACCCAGACTCAATAATTCCCTGCCCCCTTCTCTCTGTCTCTCTCTTTCCCCCTCCCTTTTTTGAGTTTTCAAGACAGGGTTTCTCTGTGTAGCCCTGGAATTCCTTGAACTCGCTCTGTAGACCAGGCCAGCCTCGAACTTGAACTCACTGAGATCTACCTGCCTCTGCCTCCCAAGTGCTGGGATTAAAGGAATGCACCACAAACCCCTGTCTTCCACCCCCACGCCTTTTTAAAGTGAATTTAGAGTTGGTTAGATATCCAGATTTCTTACTTTTGAAGAGAAATACATTGCATATACTTGCATTTCTCATTTGGCAAAGCTCTGCAGAGAAAAGAAATACAAAGGACCCCAAAAGTCCTTGGGTGGATGAAGCAACTGGCCTGTTGCAAATACTGGGGCTGCCTCAAAATAAAATAAAACCAAACAATAAAATCCCAATCCTTCAGAACTCCAGGACTCTGGCTTAATGGGGTGTTTGGGGACACTTAGCAGTAACTGGAGTAAGGTTGGATTGGGATAACCTAGAATATTTAAGGAGCTCTTATATCTCTCTCTCCCTTCCTCCCTCCCCCTTCTTCCCTCTCTGTTTCTTTCTTAAAGATTTATGTGTATGTATGTATGTATGTATGTATGTATGTATGTATGTATGGGTGCTCACAAAGACACGGAACAGATCCTCTGGAGCTGGAATTAAAGGCAGTTCTGAGCCACGCAGTTTGGATCCCAGGAACAGAACTCAAGGAAATTTGCCTAACTGCTCATCCAGGAAGTCCTGGTTCTGAAAAAGTAATTTGTCCTCAGAAATTGAGAAATTAATAATAAATCACAAAGAAACACTCACTTCTTTATTTGCACTCATTAAATAAAGAGCAGGCAGCTTTCTTCCAAAACTGTAACCAAGACAGAAAATAGTAAGTAAGTTATGGTTTTATTTTTTAAAAAGGAGATGGGCCTGGGAGATGGTTCAGGGCTTAAAGGCTCTTGTTACATAAGCCTGCCCACCTGACCTGGATCCCAGGAATCCAAGGAAGCAGTAGAGGACTGACTCCTGACCACAGGTTCCCTAACATATGCTGTAGTAGTAAGGGAAGTAGTCAGTGAAATAATTTTTAAGGGGCCGATGGGTAAACTCTCCAATGTTTCAAGTAGGTGAATATAACTATTGGATATAATTATTCATTGTACAATAAAAATGTTTTTCAGGGAATAAAGTCGCACTGTTTTCCTAATGCTCCTGAGAGTCAAGGACAAACTGCAGCAAAACTGCAGCACTGTGTTATTTCTAATACTGTCACAGTGGTAGAAAAGAGGCTTTAAGGGAAAGCTTGTGCTTGAGAATGGACTCTCTTACCTGCCTGGAGACCTAAGGTTCCAACAATTTTACAACATCACACAAAGCTCTGTGTCTTCCTGCTTTTGGAGTTGACTTGAAGAACAGTTCCTGCCTCACAGGAGTACTGAGCATAAGGCACTGAGACTCTGCATTTGCTGTCCTTCCACTGAGCCATCTCCCTCTGGTCAACATGCTCCAGTGGGAAGCACACGCCCAGTGTAGAAATAAACGTTGTCTCTGCTACGAAGCAGAGCCAGTCTTGCTCTTGGCAGTGTGCCTTCCGTGGGTCTGCGCATATGGACAGGTACTTGCGTCCACCCTTACTGTGTCTCACAGAGTAGCTCACTGTCTAAATGTCTCTGTGCTTCTGGCGATGTATCTCCTAAGTCCAGGCCAGGAATTTGACTTTGCCTATGCCACTCCAGGGCTTTCTGTTTCCCAGAACTGCTGCAAACCTTTGATAAGAAAGGACCAAAGGTCCTTGTCACTGTGCCAAGGCTCCAGTCTGAAGTAGATCAGTTACTTATTTCTGGCTCAGGGCTTGGGAGTTAGAGGAAGAGGCCTCCAGCTAGGGCCTCCTTGCGGTCAGTGAGTTTTGCTTGTGTTCAGTTTCATTTCTAAGTCAGAGAGCTCAGAAAGAGAAACTTAAAGTTAAACCAGGAAACAGGAAAGTTTCCAGATGGCGCCAGCATGGCGCCTGGCCCTATTCCAGCAGGATTTTATAATGGCTCATAGTATATAGCTACTAGCGATCTGGAGTTTGGAAGGGAGAGGGAAGTTGGGTGCAAGAGGCTGGAGGAGGAAGGAGAAGGGAGAGAGGGAGGGAGAAAAAGAATGGGAGGAGAGAGAGAAGAGAGGCAAAAAGCTGGGAGAAGGATCAGGCCTTGAAGTTGTCAGGTGGGCTTGTCAAGGCTCGGGTTTTCTACTGGCCAGATGAAAAGCCTTCCAGACCTTTGTTTACGCTTCCAGGCTCTTGTCTCAGGTCAAGAAGAAGCTGCCATCATGGAAGCTGGCCACCTTATTACTTAGCTGAGGCTCCTCTTCCTAGCTGTCTGCCTGCTAGAAATATGTCTAACTTCTACTCGCTCCGTATCACCCCTGAAGTTTGGGTAGAGGGCTGGAGAGATAGCTCCGTGGTTGAGAGTTCTGGTGGCTCTTGCAGGTGGTAGACCAGGGTTCTGTGCCATGCACCACTCACGTGTTAGCTCACAACTGCCAGTAACTCCAGTTAGGGGAAATCCAACACTGTCTTCTGGTCTCCTCAGGCACCAGGCATGGATGTGGTGCACACACACCGTATTCAGATAATACACCCATATGTACAAAATAAGACTAAAGAAATCTCAATCCATTTTTAAAATGTTATGTGTTATATTTTTAAAATTACTTTTAAGCCGTAGAGCAGGTGTTTAGTGGTTGAGTAAGGGTTTTCCTCACTCTAAATTTTTTAAATATTTTATTTAAAAATTTTATGTACATAAAAGTTCTGCCTACATATATGTCTATGTTCCACAGAAGTGCAGCAGAGGCCAGAAGAGGTGTCTGATCCTCTGGAGCTGAAATTGTTTTATGAGTGTGAGCAGTCACGCCCCTATGCCCATAGGTCACACCCATGGCATCATGGTCCTCTGCAAGACCAACAAGTGCTCTTAAGCAATGAGCCTCTGCTCCAGTACTGCTTGTGCTCACAGTGCAAACGTGATACCACTACTCTGCCGCTGGACTTTGCTGTATCACCTGAGGAAGGTGCCAGTGGGCATGATCTTTCTGTCCCCACACCACTGACAAAAACATTTCCGTATGTGATCATGTTGTATGAGACAGCCTGAGCCACGGTCCTGAGTCACTTATAATTGGCTCCAGAATTAACAGTCTCTTCTTCCCTGACAGGTAAGAACTAAGTTTAGCATTGACTATGGACACTGAGGGCCTCCGGCTCTCTCAATCCTGACTCTGTCTCCTAGAGATTCTTCCCCTTAGCACACAGAACCCCCTGACCTCACCCTGGGTGCCCTTTCTTCAACAATGCCCTCAAACTCAGAGCTGCAGCGACCCACCCAGATGGTCACTGTCTGGTGTGTGATATTCAGGGCAGGAAAGGGTTGGTAATTATATTTCCTTACGTTTTTGTCTTTTCTTCCCAAGTTGATTCCTGTGGGACAATAAAGCTGGTCTCCCTTATTCCACCCTCCAGTTAAAGCTCTTTGTCTACGGCACTTAGCAGTTTCATTATTTCACTGTAGTTCACTTAATTCCATGTGACAGTTTCTCTCCTATCTTGTGACTGTGTTTCATAAATTCATGAGATTAGAAAAGGCAAAGCAATTTTGCCAGTTAAGCAGGCTGCTCGCATACTGCTTACTCCCATCCAACAAAGCAGGCTTTTATCATACTAGGACCTCCCACACAGCACACAAATAGGCAACCAATTTCCTCCCCAAGTTTCAGTCTTCCCGTAGCTGAAGCTCAGCTTCTCAGCTCTGAAATGGGAACCCCAGACACATCTGTGGGCATGCTCACTGCCACAGACTGCCTGCAGGAGGGACAGATGGGTATGTATAGAATTTGAGCAAACTACAAGAGCAGAGAGGTGCTTCAGCGGGGAAAGGACAGCAGAGGAGCTGAATCTCATGCCAGTGAGCCTGTCACAGTGGATCTCTGAGGAAAGGAGAGGCTGCAGATAGGATTAGCTATGAGGTTGTTACAGTAGTTATACTACTGGAGATATAATACTTGAATAGTTCCTTAGCAAGAGAAAAGAACAGTGACTTACCTTACAAGAGCCAGAGCCACAGACACAGCTTTTGTTTTGTTTTCCTTTTTGTTTTTGCACTTGGCTTGCTCGTCCACTCTTTTCTCAGGGATCTGGTAAATTACACTCTGGTAGATTATGTCAGGTTGCTGTAGGACAGGCTTGCTCTCTATGTCCCATTATGAGTGAAGGAAATTCAAGCAACAGCTTTGCATTGTGCTCAGTGACAGAAGTTGCCTGGGAAGCTGGGGCTTGTGCTTTGGAGATCTGCTTTAATTAAAAAAGAACTGTAAGGGGGTGGCATAGGGTGGGGGCTGAACCCACCCAGGACCAAATCCTTTGCATTTTGAGCTCACAGTAAAAAATAGAAAAAGGATATAATGAGGTTCTCTACTTTAATCTTCAGAAAGGAAAGAAAATTGTGTTTCTTTTGTTTTGTAAATGTCTGTGCTTCATTATATTTCATCCTTTTATCTTCTTTTTTTCCTCTTCCCTGTTCCTTCACCTTATATTTTTTTCATTTAAGGAGAGAATATTGGATTTTGAGAAAACAAAACCGATATTTACCAAAATACTAAATTCATGGCAAATGTTAATGCTCATAACTTAAACCAAGAATTCTCCTAACTGAAATTACTATTGTTGTTATTATTATTAATGCCGATGATGATGATGATGATGATGATGGATCGATAATTGACTGACTGATTGTTTGACAAAGTCTCATACCTTCTCCCAAGCTGGCCTGGAGCTCCTACTCCCTCTGCCTCAGCAGGGTTGACTTTTGAAATCCAAATGCTTACCCAACGAGAACATTTTCTGCTGTGAATGGGGAGCTCATGTCTAAAGTGCACCTCTTGTGTAACTGGAGGGTTTTTGTTTTTGGGCAACTTTACTCTTTTGAAACTGCAACTGGTTTTGGCACTGAAGTTATTATTATTTTTTTTTATTTTAAATAAAGCTAAAATCTAGGCCAACAATGTTTCCTTTCCTTGTTTTTTTTTTTTTAAGAGATCATTTTCAACATTGCTTTCTAATAAAGACATGAAAGTTTTGCTCAAACTGTGTTATAAGAGGCATTTGAATTGAGAAGGAGATACGTGTATACAGCATGAGAAACATGGATGACAAAATTACCATTTGTGTATCAAAATGAAAAAGACAGTATCAGAAATTTTACATGTGTAAAAACAGAGGATTATCGGTAAATCTTACTCGTAATACCGTATAAGAAATGTGTGGTGTGGAATCCTGTGTGAACCTGGGGCATTTGATGCTTGAAGTCTTCCAGAAGACATATCAGGTAATGTTCTTTAGCTCAGTCCTAAACCCTCTAGTATAGTTGCTTATTCTTTCTTTCTTTTTTTAATTGACATTTTACACTTACACACACCTTTCTTGTTTCATTATGGAGAATGCATTAGAACCCCTCAGCTATTCTCAGGAACACTATACTTTACTGTGAACTCCCTCCTACTGTGCCTTTGACACCAGAGCTGTCACCTCTTTATGGTAAATATTGCCTGCTTCCTCTCTACTCTCCCAAACAGCTGGTAAGATATATTTATACCTGCCAGCACTTAGCTCTTTGACAGTACAGAATTAACAATTGAAAACACAAAGACTGAGAGACCAAAGAAATAAAAATTAGTTTTTTGGGTATTGGTTTAAGGTTTAAAGCGCAAGCCTGAATGAAGGCCAGCCAGATGGAGACATGTCCAGCCACCTGAATGGTAGAATGGCATTTACCACATTCTTTTCCTGCCCACTAGAAATACAGTTGCTTGGAAACTGGTCCAGATGGCCGGGCCAGAACCGTTTATGGACTTGGCGCCTAAAGTAAACCAATCATTTCAAAGGTCTATTTCCCTTACCCAATCATGTAACGCCAAGACATGTAACTCCCTGCCTGCAGTTTTTCCCTTTAAAAACCCTGTTCCCATAGACTGCCCCACCACTCTTGCCCTGTCTATACTGCTTCCACAGGAAGTTTTGTGACCCAGGCTTGAGCTTGTATCTAATATACCCTCATGTGTTTTGCAGCAGAGTCGATTCCTTGTGGTCTTTGGGGGTCTCATGAACTGGACATGAAAAGACTTGGTCCTTGGTTGTAGTATCAGTCTCTGCAGGCCTCTCTGGGCCCAAGTATTTTGGCTCTGTTGTTCTCCTTGTGGAGTTCCTGTCCCCTCCAGGTGCTTCCATCTCCCTCTTCTTCCATAAGGATTCTTATGCTCTGCCCAAAGTTTGGTCATGAGTCTCAGTATTTCCTTCCATACCCTGGCGGGTAGAGTCTTTCAAAGGCCCTCTTTGGAAGGCTCCTGTCCCGTTCCCTGTCCTCTCCTACTTCTGATGTCTATCCTGTTTGCCCCTCTGAATGAGGATTAAGCATCCTCCCTAGGGTCCTCCTTGTTGTTTAGCTTCTTTAGGGCTATAGACTTTAGTATGTTTATTCTATATTATATTATATTATATTATATTATATTATATTATATTATATTATATTATATTATATTATATTATATTATATTATATTATATTATATTATATTATATTATACTGAGGGCCATGCATGGGGAGGACCTAGACCTCAATTTCAAAGGAAGCCCTTTGCCTGCTCATTTTCCAAGTAGGTTTACCCCTGGTAAGGGGTACAGGGGCTGTCTATGACATGAACTCAGTGGCTGGCTGGCTGATCACCTCCTCCTGGGGTAGGGGGAGGTGCAGTCTGGAGGAGGAAGATGCAACCAGCCTTGATAAGCCCTAATAAGCTTGCTTCAGATAGAAGGCAAGGAGGTCCACTCTTATCTGGGGACTAGGGAAAAGGCATAGGGGGAGAAAAAGGGTGGGGGACTGGAAGGAGCCAAGGGAAGGGGCTGCAGAGGGGATAAAAAGTGAATGCATTGTAATAAATATATATATAAATATGTATAAATAAATATATATGTATAAATAAATATAAATATATATATATTTATATAATTAAAGTTAAAAAAAGAGAGAAAATACAGAGACATGCCAGGTGTGATGACAGAGTCTTTAATCCCAGCACTTAGGAGGCAGAGGTAAGCAGATGTTTGTGAGTTCAAAGACAGCCTGGTCCAGGAAGTGAGTTTCAGGACAGCCAAGGTCTTATATAAAGAAGCCCTGTCTTAGAAAACAAAACAAGAAAATAGAGAAACACTTTGATGCAATGTGAAGAAAGATCACCTCAACAAACAATGAAAAAAAATAAATGTTGAGAATTTTATATGTAGCCAAAATACAAAGGGCATTATATGATGCTTAAAATCCTCTAATCTTGAGCATTGTCCACTTTTTAGTTTAAGCACAGGCTCCTTTTGTCGTGGAGATGTGGAAAAGTGAGTAAATACAGTGGTTAAAGTCAGTGGGAGCTTTTTCAAGAGTAGAGTTTAGATTCAGTTTTGTTTAAGTTCAGTTCATTTTGTGTACGTTTTTATGAGTTTTGAAAACATATAATAATTATTGCTCTATCACAATGAAATACAGTCCTATAACTCCACCTAAATTTTTCTCAGGGCCTTTGCAGACTTTTCCCAGACACTCCCTTCCTCTCTTCCCAAAGAATAGTCACCCTTGGCCTGACATTTGCCTTTTCAGAAGCTGTTCACATGGATTCCTGCAGTCTGATAGTCACCCACAGGCTTCAGTTGTGTGTCAAATACAAACGATTGCCCTTTGATTGAAAGAGACCACGTTCTAAGCATCATTGGTCTAAGAACGGTTGTGGATTCAGAAACACAAAAGCAGCTCAAAATACCTCATCTGCTTTTAATCTGCAGAAGTTTAAAAAAAGAAGCTAATGGAAAACATGTGGATTAAATTAGCTGAAGCAAAAACAAGTTGGTGACAGTTAGAGCTATCAAAAACACACATGCAAACACACACTCACACAAAAAAGTAAACCTACAACTGTTTGATCAGCCTTGTAGGATAAGCAGCAGGACAGCTGGTTTTATGGTTCCTGACTCTAGAGCTTGCTGTGGACACAGAGCCAGAGATGAACAAGGGCAAGCATATGGTCCACTTTGTCTTTTTAATGCCCTTGCTCCGGTGCTCAAGAATATTGTTGACATCCTCAGTGTTGGAGGATATTTGGCCTATGGCAAAATGTGAATTAAAAAAAACATTTTTAGTTTTTTATAAGAATCTCTAAAGTTGCTGTCAATGCTCATGTGAGGCAAACACAGGTTTTCATTTCTCTTGTGAGAATATGAAGGTAGCAGGGCCAGGGCAAACAGTGAGTATATTTTCATTTTAACAAACTCATGATGTGTTTTCAACTGTCTTTTCCCAAACCTGGTAATAATGAACATATTCAATGCATGATCTTTGATAACCAGTGTATATTTAAGTATTTGACCCATTCTTATTCTTTTTTTCTTTTTTTAATCATTGAGTTCTCAGAACTCTCAAGATGTTTTATACATAACCTCTTTTTGATCTATGTCTTGCAGATATTATTTTTTAAATCCTCTTTGCAGAACTCAGGAAGGAGATTTTTTTAATTAGTCCAAAGTCTAAATGTTTCATTTTTTTTTTCTAAAGTGGATAAGAATTTTGGTATTATACTTCAGACATTTTTAGTCAAGACAAGTTCACAGAGATTTTTTTTTTTCTCTTTTCCTCAGATAGTTTTATAGTCCCATGGTTCATGTTTGGGTTACCTCTTACAGAGGTAGGAGATGTGAGCTTTTAGCATATGAATACAGAGACTGTCTCAGCATTCTGTGTTGCAAAGACAGGTGGAAGGTGCAGGCAGGAAGAAGCAAGAGTGGGCCAGCATGCCCTGTGCACAGGGGGCCAGGTCATCCTTCTGGGAAGATGATAAGTCAGGCCCAAATGTTCGACTTGTTTCTCAAGTTTTATTATTTTTGTCTTTCATTTTATTATTATTATCTTGGTTGTTATTATTATGGTTGTTATCATTATTAATATTAACTTTAATATTTTGGCTTATGTGTCAGCACTTTTGCTAAAACCAAACTTATGTCTTTGATTCTGTCACTCTGATTTGGTGGTGTTGTTTCTGCAAATTTGGCCTTTTTTTTTTTTTTTTTCTAAATTGTTCTGCTGTTTTTTGGCCTTTTCATGCAACTTGAAAATTACCTTGGCTGTAGAGATGGCACGTGGTTAAAAGCATTGTCTGCTCTTGCTCAGGACCTAGGCTCAGTTCCTAGTACTCTCATGGCCCCTCACAACTGTCAGTAACTCCAGTTCCAGGGTATTCAAGGCCCTCTTCTGCTGTCCTCAGGCATCAGGCATATACACAGTATCTCATATATCACCCATTAGGTATGTCAGTGTGTTCTATTACATGTATGTTGTTATTTAATTAATTATCTTTAGGACCAATTTTTATGTAGTCCAGATTGACTTCAAACTTT